TCATGCAGTGTTTGCTTTTCTGTGGCAGATTTCCACATGCATGAATGGATTTAAAAAAAAAGGGTCCAACAGGTGGTGTGGTGGTCAAGGTGCTAGATCCCGCATGGTCAACTGCATGGTTCGAGTCCCAGACCCAGGAGCTTGAAGCCTGTGTGCCCAAAATCCCAAGAAGAGAATGGAGAAGAAGGGATTGTGGCATGTCCGACTCCCCTGGGAAGGGGGGGGATGATGTCTTACTTTCTCTCCTCTTTCTTTGTCATTCTGTGTCTCTCTCTGGTGAGCACACATGGCCTGTGGCAAATAAATAAGTAAATTAACTAAAAAATTAAAAAGCAAAAGAAAACTAAAACCATTGTACAGGTTAAACATTCTTACTCTGAAAATCTAGGATATGAAACTTCTTGATGCCGCAAATGGAAAACAGCACACTTGACCTCATGTGATGGGTTGCATTCACGGGTTGCACAAAGCACAGTTTATTGAGCATCCCTAAGGGGAAAGGGACCCTCTCCGCTCCCTTCAACCACGGTATCTTTTCTTTACACATTCAGATTCCCCTATGTGAGCATTCCCACAAAGCAAAATGGGCTGTGTGCAGGCCACGTGAACTAATGGCAGGTTTCCCACGATGCCTAAACAAGGCAGTGAGTTTCCTGTTTAGATTTGGGTTCCATCCCAAAGATATCTCCTTAGCTATAAGCCAATATTTCAAAATCCAAAAGCATCAGAATTCTAAAACTCTCGTGGTCCCAAGCATTTCGAATACATTGTACTCCACGTGTGTATACATTAAAAATGGAATCAGTCTTTAAAAGAAGGACACTCTGGGGCCAGCAGATGGCATAATGGGTACGTCGCTGGACTCCCACATAGTCTACCATGATTAGAGTCCAAGACCAGGCTGCTGGAGACTCACGCCAGGTGCGAATGCGTGCGTGCCCAAAATCCCAAGAAGAGAATGGAGGAGAAGGGACTGTGGCATGGCCATGCATCTGGGCAGTGATTTCTCACTTTCTGTCTCTCCAGCAAGCACATGAGCCCTAAGATTAAAAATTGAAAAATTTAAAAAAACTCTCTAAAAGGGAAAACAAGACACTGAGTAATACT